CTCAAGGAGAGACAAACACGTGCTCACACTGACAAACCTGGAAGAGGTCTTTTCATCACTGAACCAGGTGTGTTGGAGCAGGGAAACAAGAAAAACCTGCAGGATAGTGGCCCTCAGGGACCAGGATTAGACACTACAGATCCAACAGTTTTACTAGTTTAAAAAATGAAGGGAATTGTGACTTTTGGTGGAAAATAAGGTCATGATGGGAGAGAACAATAGGAAGAACATGAGTCATAAATCAGTATTTGAGAAAAGTCAAAACTAGTCCAAACCAAAGTTAAAATGTTTCTTAATTTCACAAGCATGAAAGAAAATCAATGAATTGATATTTTCATATGAACTCTGGCTTTTATAAAGCATATCATCAAGGAGCTTCCTTCACTGATACCCGTCTGTTTCCTCTTCCTGTTTTGGCCTGTGAGAGGCCAGCAGAGGGTCGCACGGGGTTTGAATCCACAGATGGAGGAGGAGGAGGAGGAGGAGGCAATAAAAGCAGCGTGAGAGATGGTCAACAGAGGTTTGTGTGTTGGTAACGCAGTCACGTCTGGACAGAAAGAGAGCACAAAGGGACAGAAACAAAGTCTGATGGGAGAAAGAAAAGCGAGGAACAGTTTTAATTACAGATTCAGGAGAAGTAAAAGAATTTCACTAACTGAGATAAATGCTTATGGCTCGTGACGAACTGTAATTCGGTTTTAAAAAAAGGTACTTCATGTCAAACTCTAGTAGTTAAAACTTAGGGTATTTGAAATAAAAAAACTGACTTTATTGTGGTGTTTCCTAGAATAGAATAAAATCTTAGCTTTGTTTTACACCTTCAACCTGATAAATCTGATCATATTTAGAAAAATGTTAAATAATAGAACACTTAAAACACGTGTCAAACTCAAGGCCCGTGGGTGAAATTTGGCCCTTATTAACATTTTATCTGGTCCCAAAGGTATTACTGTTATAGTTTTGTGTCGTTTTGGTCCTGAATTTTACTAAGATATTCTCATGACAGCTAAGTTTTTTTTAGTGATCTTTAATTTTGGTGTGAAAGAGCAACAAACAATTATTATTTTTTCTGTATTCTCTTTTATTTTAAAGTCAAATGATTGGATTTTTAATTAAGGTTTTATTGAACTGATATGCTGGATTGTGATCAGATATTTTTCTAAGAAATAATTAATTAGACCATTGTTAATAGAGGGTAAGAACTGAATGCTAATTGTCTTTCTAAACTCTTTTCCTTTTGTTTGTTAGGTTATGTATGATTTTAATGTAACATAAAACATAATTTGGAAAAGGTAATTTGTATTTCTAAAACAATAATTTGTAATAAAACATTTTCTATCAATAAATATTGACAGAAACAGATCCTTGGCTTAGATAAAGTTTGGACATTTGGCCTCTTTGTGTAGCTGGGTTAGACACGTCTGAATTAAAAGAAACTATATATACAGTATTTTTTTCAGGAGCACCTCCTTGTGGCTCGCTGTAGTACAGTTTTTCAGCTCTTCCCCTCCATTTAAATGATGGCACATTTTCCTAACTAAAAAAAATCAGTTTGTTGATTCAAGAAGCTCATATCTTGTTATTGAATGTCTAAATCAACATTTTACAGTAATACAAAGCTAGTAAACACTGTCTTATATGCAACAGTCTCGTATAATGGATTAAGGTTTTTTTGTTTTTGTTTGTTTTGAAGTTCAGGTAGGTTGATTTGTTTGTCAAAAACCATCATTTATTAGAGCTGGGGTTGCTTGTTTGTATGTGTATAAGTAAACAATTTTATTATCATTTGTGCCATGCAGCACAGCAGGTGCCCAGCCCACACAGGCTCACAAGACACATTAAACATATAGGCGGATAGACAAACATTCTTCAAACAAAAAGGTGCCAGGCCTTTAAAATAAACTGAGCTAATTGAAACACAAAACACTTAAAATGCTGCAATTTATCTTCATCGATTCAATACAAAAACAAAATCTGGATAAGCATCAAGAGTTTAGTCAAACAATTCATTTCTCAGAATCATATACAGTACAAAGGACAATAAAACAATTGTATTTCATTCTCAGTTTCACCCAAATCACACAAAGAACATGTATGATCCTCTGGAACTGAACCAAATCGTCCAGTCTCCACAGGGAATGAGTGTGACTTATTGTGTGTGTGTTTGTGATGGTGGGGGTAAATAAAAACTTTTTTAAAGTTTCAGGAAATGTGATTAATTTAATCTTTAGTTGGTGATGCTTTTAGAAAACGTTCCATGAGAGGGTGAAAGTGGGATTTACTATTTATTTTTCAAAACAAGATTTTGATAAGTTTCACAGTTCATAATGGAGAACCACCAGAGAAATGTGTAAATACCATAAAGAATAGACCAAGTTGTCAATGTCAAACTTTATTTATAAAGTGCTTTAAAAACAGCCAATGACTGCACCAAAGTGCTGCACAACAAACTATAAACACAAACATTACTAAAATACATAATAAATTACAACGAACAATAGTAAGAACAGATAAAAGTTACAATGCCAGGTCTTGTATTAATTAAATACCTTAGAATAAAAGTGAGCCTTAAGAAGAAGCACTTTGAAGTTTTCCAAGCTATGAACAGATCTAATGTGAATGAGCAAGTTGTACCTTCTATTTTGTAGTTTTTCTGTGTGAGTAGATTTTTCTTGGTTTTGTTACACACTCATCATGTTCAGCGTACAAAAACAACAATTAAATAATAGTACAGTTTTCAGGTTTTCTTAGAAAAAGTTCACCTGTTTATCAATCCTAAGCATTAGAAGAATATGCTTCAAATGGCTGGAAAATGCATAGTTTTGAGTAGATATTTTCAATTGCCAATACTTTTGGCAATGTATTTTCAAGGTATGTATCTAAACCCTCATAGGATCACTTTGTGCCACTAGTGCTTGCTAATACTTGGCCTTCATTGCCATTAGCAAATGTTGTCAATGAGGTGAATTGATTAGAGGCTATCATGTGACTTTTCTTGGTCAGAGAGAGCGGCCATATTGTTTGGGGCTAGGACAAGCTGGTAAAGCTGAATGTAGTAAATGACATTTTAACTTTAGTTCAGCACATCAGTGAAACACAGTTTGATATGGACAACCATTAATTTCATTTGATAGAAATTCTTGTCAGTACATTTTATCATATCAGGTAAAAATGTGTTGCCAAGGTACATCTGCAGGGAATGGTGTTTCTAATAGGTGGAAGCTAACAAATGAAAAACCAATATTCATGCAGTTCACCACAGAATTCTAGCCATGATAAATGGTTTACATTGACAATATGGCGTTGCACTTTGTACCACAGCGGTTAGTTTTCCGAAACATGCGTGATTCTTTTAGCCAATAATCCTTAATGATTCCAACCACTGCAAATAGTGTAGTACAGAAAAATAAATATTTGAGAAAAGTGATGTTTTTTCTGATCTTCGGTCAGTGATATGCTTTTTGTGTGGTTTACAAGTACATACATGATGCAATAAAACATGATAGTGATCTGACTCAACAGAACGGCTAAATGGCTCGACACACAGGAGGCGACGTCGCTCGCTCTCCATTCATTTCCTYDGGKYCCTGTGCGGTGAGGCGACYATCGCTTGCCCTCCTCCAGCTAAGCGACCGGCGAAAATAGTGCATGTGAAATTTCGCGCTCTTACACCTAGACGTGCACACGCGAGCTTGTGATGCGACATATGAAAGTTAAAAAATGTTCAACTTTTGTCGCTGTCGCTTAGCGTACAACCAATCAGCGAGGGTTTCATTGATTGACCAATGAGAGGAGAGTATGCTACACACTGCCGTTAGCTAACACTTTTACCAAGTGATTACTAAAAAGCTTTGTGGGAATTTACTGGCACCAGGGTGAAGTTTATGGTAAGTTTTTCCTCATAAAATGGTATCTTGATGTGTGTTTGTTTTTCAATATCATTAGCATTGCAAGATTTGTTTAGTTTACACGTCCGTAATGCACACCCGCCTTCAGAGTCAAGAACCAATCAAATTTTGTGAAGACAAGCGACTTGAGAGCACGATACGCAACGCTGCGATCGCTATTGCGTCCTGTGTGTCGGGTTTCACCCTGGCTGCGATGACAGCCGTTAATCGCTGTAGTTTGTCGCTCCCCGTGTGTCGAGCCCTTAAGATCTGAGCTTTGAATACCTGTTGAGCTGCACAGGTGCACAGCTCTCAGTGATAAGACAGGAGAAAAAAGTCATTCGTTTGCCAAGTTTGTCTTTGGGTAATCATTGGTTCGTTTGCCAAGTTTGTCTTTGGGTAATCATTGGTTATTTGGCAGGGATTTGCTGCCGCTTTTGTTCGGCTGCTAAAAATAACTTGTATAAAAAAAGTGAAGTGAATAGTGAGCACTCCGATACTGTGTGTATGTTTTCGTTAGAGGGGAAGTTTCTTTAGCTTCCAGTCCCGTTTAGTGTGAGAGTGTTGCTTTGTTCACCTGTGCAGTGAATCTGAAGTGTAAGCTTGTTTCCATTTGAGCCGACTGGTTTCATTTTGTTCAGGTTACAGTTCTCACACCAAGCCTGATGTCATCAGTGAGGCATGTGTTTAGAGTTGGAAATGTACTAACAAAACGTAAGTATGGGATTTTCACCAAAAAGAGAAAGTGGCCACGCTGCATTCCTCCATAACTTCCTTAAGTCCATCAAATACTGTTTTCCACCGGGTTGGTATTGAAACTTTAAAGTGCTGCTCAAGTGGCTGTTTTCAGCTGACAATCAGATGAGAGCTGGTTATGCAAGAGCTTCTGACAAAAAAAACACCCATCTCCTGGAGGGTTTGTGCCCAAGACAAGTATGAGAAAAGCTGCTGGATGTTCTGTTTTTTTTATACAACCACTATGTCCAGTGGAATTATGTAAAATTTGTGACTAAAATTAACAAATTACAGCTGTAATCGTGTCTCGATTCAGTTTCTGGTATTAGACATAAAGGTTTCAAAAAATCTAAGTGTCGGTTTTGTTGTCTTTTGTAGGCTCTTCTCCATCTCTGTCTTCTAAGAAGCCCCGGAGTGGAGGCCTCTTTTCCAACCTTTTTTGCTGCCTGTGTCGGGACCACCCTGAAACACCGCCGGTCAACAACAACGCCCCGCTCTTAGTCGAAGAGAATGGAACTGTGTCCAAGGTGGTTGAATTTACCAAGCAGCTATTTTTTTACTTCAAAAGAATGGTACAACCCATCCACTTTAAACAAAAGTAAAAATTTAATGATTTTTTTTAGATCCAAGCGAAGCCACTTCTCCCTCCAGTGAAGTCAAAAGACTCTGGAAAGATCTGTGTGGTTATAGACCTGGATGAGACGTTAGTTCACAGCTCTTTTAAGGTAAGAACCAGATTCACCCATTGTAAGCAGGCTATGAAGGCTATCCAGCTCCTGTTAGAGAAAGTGATCTGTGTTCACCTGTAATGAAGGATGGAATAAAACTGCTTTATAGCTAGTTTGTCCTGTTAAAAGTTTTAAATGTACCCACTAAAATCAGTTAAATGGTTTTATTGCGCTCAGAAAAGGTTGTCTTTCACGTTGGTGACCGAGGAATGGCCCAAAACAGAGGTCTAAATGGATTGCAATATGGTGCTACTTTCTTAACAGAGAATATTTACAAAGAAATGTAAAGCACTGATGCGTCGAAGGAAGATTTTTGTTGTTGTTTCTAAAGTGTCTCATGCTTTGCCATCAGAGTATTACTGTTGAATTTGCCAGACTGTAGTATGGAGCTACTGGATACCTTCGGAGAACTTTCTTAATACATGCAACATCTGGAAGGAAATGTGAATGTTCATACAGTGGTGCATTAACTTAGGAGTATAGTTTGTTCTACAGTGGTGATCGTAATTCAAATTATTCATAGGTCACATCAATCTTTGCTGTAGAAATTAACTGAAATGCCATTAATCTGTTCTGGACCCCCCCAAAACATGGCAATGTTTTGCTCCATGTTTTTAAGTAAGAAAAATATAAATAACAAATATTGTATAAAACCACAATACTGAAGAAATTTAGTTATTTATAGATTAGTACTGATATCAGAAACACCAGAGTATTAGGGTTTTCTTTTTATAACACTTTTATAATGTTTGATCTWTTATGTGTTAATTGAAATAGAGTAGCTACATGTCCGAATTATATAACAACACATAAGTAACTGTTTTTTAAACCATTAGAGTGAAGTCTTTGTCTGAATGCCTGTGATTCAGCCGTAGGTCAGTAGGGGGCGAACTCAGGCATTGAAGAATCGTGTATATAAAACATGTACTTCCTGTTGTTCATTCAGTGTGGTTTTGATTTGTCAGCCGGTGGCAAAATAAACCTCACTCACTCCAGAATTCTGGGTTGTATGATTATTATTTCATATCACAGATCACTTTATTTAATACTTGTGTTTTCATTTGACTTCAGCCAATATTAAAACACATATTTCTTACAAAATGATGT